CTTCCGCGCCTTCGCGCATTAGATCACTGTGCTCGCCGGCTCACTGCGCTCGCCACTAACGGCTCGCTTCGCTCGCTAATATCGGTATCGATATCGATATCAAACACTTCACGGGCGATATCGTATCGAATCGATTTATTGAATCGATATCCAACACTACAAGGAACATACCCTTCGAAAGAGCTACTAGCTCGATCTGTAGGGATCTGATCTATCCCATGGGTGGGAATATAATCCTCTGTGTCACTCGCCAAAAGAGTGCGGTGACAAACATCGAGATCGAGTGGACCCGCGAGTGTAGGCTTTCATAAGAAAAAAGGCTCGATCTTCCTCTCGATCGTTCATGAAGACAGGGACACTGCATGTTGCTGCGCAAACGTAGAGTTTGTGTCCAACAGCTTCCATGACACCTCCGCGAGCTTATTTCCCCCAAACAGCACAAAACAAAACGACGCCGAACATTCTTCCAAAAAATGCGCACAAAAAGAAAACGGGCTTGATATGTATGTCTTGTCACCTTCTCTAAAAGCGTGGCCCGGAAAGAGTCGACCAAGCTCGCCGGCAGGGCGCCCGGTTCTCCACCGGCCTTGATCTCTTCAACCATGCCAAGGATAACGCGGGTGCTCAGCTGAAAAGAGCGGCGTGCAGTGCGCGGAGAGAGGGCGGGCGGGCGGGTTGGGAATAAAACTTCGCCGCCTACCCCACCATGAAGGCGGGTGGTGCTGCGGGGTGTGTGGGATTTAACTGATCGTGGTGCGGGCATGAACCCATCGTCGGGGGGGATAAATCGCGCCGGTCCTACATGAGGGAACTGATTGTCCTTGACAGCGTGTGACAGAATCGATCGACAGCCGATGATGTTGGCGCGACAGTTCAGGTCCCATCAACGGTTACATCCCAAATGCCGAAGCGGAGAAGAAACGTGCATCATCTCCTCTCGGCGTTGCGGACCCAGCGCCATCCTTCACAATGAACCACTCTGAGATACTACGTCGAAGGGCAATTCCTGCGTTCTAGGGGACCAAACAACAAAACAAATACTCGGAGTAGAAAACGGCCATTGTGGAAGTGATCATGCCCAAAATGGTGGTGGTTCGACAGCAGCGATTTAGCGTCGAATTTCCACAGGATTGTGTTTGGGAGAAAAAAAACAAACTTGGTGGTAAGCCTTGAATAGATATCGAAGAAAACATTGAATATTCCTCGAAAGTTTGACAGCGTAGTGCAACAAAGTACCGCAAACCGTCCGAACAAAATCCAGGGAATGTTTCGACTCCTGAACGGTCAATTGGGGTCCTCGATCACGGACCCCCGCGCCGGTTCCATAAATATGACTTGTCACTTTTCATGTTTTTCCGCTCGGGGATAGGTCAAGGAAGCTTTCCAGTGAGCTTGTCCTAGACAACTCGCGAGAATTTGTAAAGCTGACGCAGCAAGGTACGCTGTAGCGTAATGAGGGGCCCCGCGGATACGATTATTTGTCAAACTCAAGTAGCTTTGGGGGAAAATCAAGATGCGGGATTACTGCATTGCACACAAGCTGAAAACCTCACGCCATTACTTGGAGTTAGACCCTGAAGCTTTGCAAACATTAACTTTGAGAAAATCCGAAACTCTGTGGTCTGGATTTTTTTTCCTTTTTATCTTGTCGCCGGATACCCGGGGTCCAAGAGGTCCCTGCCTCCTGGGATCCAGGATGTCCGGCGATTGGATAGCAACAAAACAAAAACAGACCACAGAGTTGGGCCTCTACCCGAAGTTCATACGCAAAAGTGTCCGAGTCTAACGCACAAAGACGGCGCAAGGTTTTCTCACGTTGGACATCATTGGATTAATTTCCGTCATGTACTAACCAAAACAACACTGCTGTCTCCATCCGCACCCACCACAACCCACCTGCTGGCCGGCCTCCCAGCGGTTGAACGAGTCAGTGTCGTGCTTCATGAGGAACGCGAGGTCCTCGTCAGAGTACTTGTACCGCAGCTTCACGGGCGCGGACAGGTCCCTGGGGGAGGGGGGGGGGGGGGGGGGGG